GAGGTTGTTGCGGCACACAGCATCTAGTCTACTTCACTGTAGGAGTGTTGGTATACTGTAGTTCCCATGTCGCAGTCTGTGGATAGACACGTCTAGTTAACCACGGAATTACTGTCCAGTACATAATGATTTCGTACGTGAGTCACAAGAACGTGTAGATCAACCGTAACCGCATCAAACCCTATCTAACGAAACCTCAAAGGAGAAACCGGTAATGTGCAGTTGAAAATTATCCGCTATTCTTATGAGTTGCAGGTCGTTTTAAGAATAGCCATAGCGATTTTTTTGTGAATTAAACCTGTGGCCAACCGGTTTGTTCTGTTGAATGTTCTTACATTCTTCAGTTCCTGAGTTGTTATTTTTCCACCCCCTAGTAATGGGATACTCTATTGTGTGGTCTACCTCCGGACGGTGCTGCGCCACGGCCGTATCCAAAACTTCTTGGTCGGAGCAGCAAGATAGTAGCGGTGGACAAAATTTATCTGGCAAACGACTCCTTATCTGTCTGATTGTTAGACAAAATGACACCGCCCAACGACTCTCACTTAGCAACCTATGGGATTCTAACGGGCTGCACGCGGGTTTATTAAAAGTCGATGAACTACCTGTGACAACTTATCTCTACTCTGGTCAGAGGGAACAAGAAGAAACTGAAATTTGCGCAATGTGTTTGAGTTGGCAGCTGGCCATATAACTGTTTCACCTGTTTTGACTAGCTGACCTATTTCTATTCGTCCTGTGCACCTGTCGTGCAATAGTTCGTCAAGCCATCTTGATGGGTCCACAAAGCCTGAGAATCCTGACTGTTTACCTAAATATCTTCGCTTTTTACCAAACGGCCTCTAAGCCGCTATTGTGATAGAAAAACTACTCATGTCTAGCAATGATAACTGAACACTATATAGGCAAGCTATAATTCATTTCATTGTGCTAAAATCACACAACGGAGTGCGTGTCCGCCAGGAACAGATGCTGTGGGCAGACGAGGGTTTTGGCCTTGTATCCCGCTTTACACAGCTGCATTAGATGAAGTGTGTGCAGAGCTATCCCGCGGACTTAAAGACAGCTTGACAGCAGGATCTTAGCGGAGAAATCCATCTAGTCATGTAAACGACAGATTCGCCACGCATAAGAAGGACTGAGGATCGTACAGGTTCAACACAGGCTTGGACTGACGCCTAAGAATGCTTCATAGGCACCAGAATGTGTGCACAAGGAATTTATCATTCACGAGAAAATGTGGCCATCATGCCAAACACTGGGGAAATCGTCAGTGAAGCACACTGAATATCGAGCGGATACTGGACTAGTGATAAAAATGCATGTGTGTGTATATCAGTATATCTGAGTTTCGGACGACTATACCTGCTTTGATATAAACTACTTAGCAGAGGAAACGTGAAATAATTCATCTTCGTGGCGGATGAGTGAATCTCCGTGAAATCCGCGAAATAGAATACTTAGTAATACTAGGACCGCTTTCCTCCTTCCTGTGTCTCACCAGGTACTATCGATTTCCGAGTTTCCGTCAACGTCACGTTCTACTTGAACCCAAATTGGGCCGATTTTGGCAAACGTCCCCGATCGCATACGAATTTGGCTCACACAAGTGACATATATGAATGCGGGTGAATCTCGCTCTTGAGGTTTCACTTAAGCTAAATGCTCAAATGGAGCATAAAGTTAACGAGAACTCAGAACGTGCGCCTACTTGACGTGCATCGGTAATGGTAAAACTGGTCGAGAGCTGTCCAAACGTTTTAGCAACCACTTCAATAGTACAGTTGATGTTACAAAGCCCGTGGTGTTGATAATGAGATATTTGAAGTATTTGTTGAAGGTTGTAAATCGACCACCGATCGAGGCGGTTTAAGGTATTTTAAAATTAGTCAGGCAACTTGGCTTGTTGATAACTCACTATAGTTATATAAAATGATCATCGGGCCAAAAGCGTTTCTGCGATATATTTGGTTCAATATCTTCCACCATTAGATCGAATCGTATGAAAGCATTCTAAGGTTCAAAGTCCTTTTGCGTTTCAGTGGAATTCCCCAATGGAAATAAATTGATCTCTGAAATTTGGTGTCTAAACATCGGAACCACAGCACACGCTGTAAATTAGACAGAGGTATCTATATGAATTGGGGTTTGGCCGTCTTCCTTTCAATCGCATTGGGGATTTCAGGGTTACGTTGGTTGAACTGCGAGCTGTTCGGTGATTGCTCTTTGATATGTTGCGTTTTTGCATAACAATTCCTGAATTTTCGGTGCAATTTTTGCCAAGCACTTTAGTGTACATTCTGGATTGTGGCCTCTACCAAGCGTCGACGTATGGAAAATAAATCTGCTCAAAAAGACCTTTGTCTTTCTGCAACATTTGGCCAGAACGAAGGAAACATTTGGCCAAAATTTACTGTTAATACTAGCTTTCCAATGCTGACTGACACAGTTGACTATTCCCTATTGAGGAGAAACTACTCTGTTCCCCTGTTTGACTGGCGATCTATCTATCTATCTATCTACCTACTTGCCTATCTAACTATCCATCTATCTGTCTATTTAACAATCGATATACCAGTCGGTACTGATTTCCTCTGATTTCCTCTCATTGTCTGTAAACATGTAGACATGTTTACATGTATGTAGGTATGTGCATTTGCCATTCTTTCGGCAAAGCTGGTAATTATATAGGAGTTGGCGGATTCATTATCCTAAGCAAATTGCGCTCCCCAAAGGCCACATACTGAGTGATACACATTTCATCTTTGTGCACCGATCGCCACAGTTCTACATATCGAGTGGCTGTAACCTCCCAGACAGCAAAAAGCAGCAGCACGTTTCAGGATCCTGTCCATCTGAAAACAAACCGGACAAAACTAATATACAGTACGTCCCTTAAGACACTAGCGGTAACAACCGCGTGGTATATTTAGTAGAGAGCCTGAATGGTTCGTTACTTGTAGGAAAAGTAGCTGATTTTGGCCGATCCTAAGGAGTTCACCAGTAAATATCTACGCCGCCATTGTGGCACTGCCTTTCACTCGCTCGAATGGGTTCATCCGTACGGAAATTTCCTCTCCACACTGCAAACGGACACGTTTATTAATGCGCAAAAAGTGTACTAGTGATGAGTTTGCTCTGAATTCCGCAGGTGAGTGTCAACCGATGAAAGCCACAGAATAAACGACGAATCCACGGGCTATGTAGATAAAATGTTCGCCTCTCATTTCACCACACAGTTGAGAAAAAATTAGAACATTGTTCAGTCTTACATCAATCTCGTTT